CACGCACGCACGCATGCACGCACACACACACGCACTTAAGTAATTATTTCTTGGTAAAGTTATTTTTGAAGACTTGGTATAGAATGTTTCGCTAGCATGCACAGGCGCTGGGCTTTATCCCTGGCACCTCAAAATAATAATTTAAAAAACTATTTTAAAAACTCAAATCAAGCCAGCTGGCTAGCACCTGTTGTTTGAGGCATGCGCTTCCTGTGGGCTGTCTGTATCTTTGTGAAGGGTGTGTGGTCAGATGCTTAGGTCGTCACGGCGAGGCCAGTGAGCTTGTCCTTTCGTTCTGTTTCAGTGAGCGCCTCAGCCACACAGACTCTGGATGGCCCACCCAGCCTGACCATGGTACATGGTAGGTTTCAACCACAGCCTTGATGTTTGGGGTGCAGTTTCCACCCCGAGTTAGATAATTCATTAACCCAGATTGCCAGCAGGGGTTCGATTATATAAAACAGGAAACACTTTAGTAACTACAAAGCAGTTAGTAAACCTGTGTCTTCACAGATTACATGACTGAAAACAAAACCTGCTGCCAACGCCATAAAGCGTGCAGTGTGTGAGTGTGTTGTTGGGGTTACCCGCAGCACTTTTAATGTCGGTACTTCATTTATTTATGATCTTGGCGGAGGGGTAGGTCCCGAGGAAGGCCAGCCAACCAGCACGTGCCCCAGGGCATTTCTGTTTGTTTTTATAACTTTCAGTGTGGTGGCTAGTCACCTCTTTTAAACAAACGGTCCCAGCGATTGGTCAGGAAGATATAGAAAAAAGAGAAACCAAAGGCAATAGCCTGCACAAGGCGTTAGGGATGAAATCCCCGCCAGGACAGCGGGTGCGAAGCACTGCAGTCTGTTCGGGTAGATGGATGACCGTGTGCAGCTGTACTTCTCGTCTGTGGAATTGGGGTTCTTTCAGTGTCTGTCCCCTGCTCGTTATGTGTTTATGTTACAGGAACCATGCGTATGTGATAGCTAACAAAGCACAGCTGCTGTGTGTTACAAAGAATTAAGGCAGGGGGACCACTTCAGTCCTGTCCTGTCTCCAGGTGGTTTAGAACCTAACGATTACCCCCTTCCACTTTGGGTTTTGACCCTTAGAAGAACAGACGTTGGCTGAGTCGCAGCTCATATGGCTCAGTTGATACAGCACTTGCCACACAAGTGTGGGGATTAGAGTTTGGATTCTTAGAACCCATATCTGGAATCCCAGTGCTGCTGAGGTGAACGGGAGGCAGAGACATGAGAGTCCTGGGAAGCCCAAGCCAGCACCCCCACACATACACACAAAGCTGTGAGCACTGTGGGAGACAAGGACTGAGACTCATGTTCCACTGACTTCATATGCATGCCATGGTGCTCCCATATCCACACTGACACACGTACGCATGCACGCACATGAGCCAATCAATCAATCAATGAATCAGTGTTTTTGTTTGTTTTTTTAATTGAAAGAAAAGTAGACAGGAGCTGGGTGTGGTGGTATGGGTCTGAAATCTCAGCACTTGTGGGGCAGAATCAGGAGGGTCATTGCAAGTTGTGGGCCAGCCTGGTCTACAGAGAAAGTTATAGGCCAGCCAGGACTACACAGGGAAACTCTACTTAAAAACAAACAGAAGAGTAGGCTTCAGTTCATGATGGAACTAAATTCCGACTCTTTGTCTTCATAAATCTTGTCATCTGTGCATGATGGTCTTTATAGCGATCCCAGAATCCATGGCTGACTTGTGATGAATGTATTCAATCACAGTATGAAACCTACTTGCTGGATTATATTACTTATGGGAGTTTAAAACACACAGGACCTTTTTCTCCTTTAGACTAATAATAGATAAAATGCATGTTCAACTTGCATAAATTTGCCTTAGTTTTGAAAATATAAGGAAACTATCTACATGTGTGATGTATGTATATTTAGTACACAAGACAAAACTTGACTCCATCTAGAGGCAGCGTTCAGAAGAGCAAGCACCAAGACAGGAAGCGCTTGGTTTTCACTCACCTCAGGCGACAACCCTGTCTTTTCACCCATTGGCTGGGGTCGCACCTCATAGTCTTGTTTGATTGGTTAGTCTTAAAAGAAAGGGTGTACAGGTAATGAAGAGAGAATCAGTCAGCCACTTCAATCCCAGAATGCAGCAGAATCTTTGTGTAAATATAGTTTTATCAGGAGGAAGGGGTAAAATATTTGCATATAAAAGTCCTGCGAGGCAGGGGAGATAAAAAGAGTTGAATTCCTTGTCCTATGCTCAAGTTTTTTAGCATTTGATAGAAAAGGCTCATGTTTAATTTGTCTTACAAATCCCTGTCCTTTTAAAACAGTCTTTTCTTCAAACTCTTTCTGCGCTGTTTTGGAGTGGGAAACTGCAGTAAGGAGGGAATGCCCTTAGCAGCTGCTGACGCAGTGGTCCTGACTTAGACCCCGGTAGAAGGAGTCAGTCATCCCATCTATTGCATTAGATGATTTGAGGTGAGCCTGCCTCCCCAGGGGGGCAGCCCCTTGGCTAGGAGACTCGCCTGGCTACTGTGTGCCTTTTTAAAAACTTAAATTGAGGCTGGAGAGATGGCTGAGATATTAACAGCACTAGCTGTTCCAGAGGACCCAGGTTCAATTCCCTGCACCCACATGGGCAATGCACAACTCCTTTCCTGGGGATCTGGTGCCCTCTTCTGGACACTGCACACAGAGTACACATACATGGCAGTAAAGACCCCTATATACCTAAAGACAAAATGGAAAAAAACTTATTTTTTAATCATGAAATTAGTTGTCATCCTTAGGTCTTTCATTTCTGTATTTCAAGCTAGACATAATCTTAAAGTATCAATGCTCAATCACAATTTTGAAAAATTTTTGTGGTACCTGATGAACTTAAATTCCCCTCCAAGGAGCTGTGGGCCCATTTCGAATTTAAAGTTGTACCCTACCTAGAAATAGACTGTGTGCCAAAGTTTATTTGAATATCGTTTAAAGCTGGGT